GAGGGGAGGGAAGTTGGATAAAACCTTGAAAAGGCTGGAAAGAGAATGAGACAATTCTCAAAGAAGGGGAGAGGGCGCGGGGGGGGGGGTAACCCTTAAGGGATCAGAAGGAAAAATTGGTGTCGATTGCGGGGGGGCGGGGCGCTGACTGGCGAGGAATCGCTCTTCTCTCAAAGAGTACCGTAATCACTCTCCGAGTGGGCCATTCCGGGCAGGGCTCCGTGCTTTCAAACAGGCAGAAGTTCAACGGGTGAAGCTTTCCCCTCTAATAGGAAAGACTTCTGCCGTTGGCCTTTTGACTGCGGGGCTCTTAAACAGAAGCAGAGAGTGCCTGGAAAGGAAATGAGGATTTTTAAAAAGAGAGAGAGAACATGGACAAACTTCTAAATTCGTTCTCCAGGAAACAGAGCTACTGGCATCGACGCCGCGGACGAAACGCTTCTCGCTCCTCACCAATTAAATTCATTATACCTCCAGTACACACACACACCCATCAGTGTATACCTGGTATTGTACAGAGAAGCAAGACAGACAGACACGTGTTCGCCCCCCTTTTGCAGGTCGGGGTAGGTTGCCTTATTCAATGATCAGCCGGGCAGGTCAGAGGGAGGAAAAGACGTGCTAAACCCAGCTGGATCGGGCCCTGCAGCGGCCTCCAGCCAGCCCAGGTCGCCAGCGGGGGAGGAGGGCACGAAGGCACCAGCCCTCCCTCTTCTTCGCCGCCGCTGTCGGGTAGACTGCGCCGGTCCATGGAGGCTCCATTTCGCCGCGGTGGCTAAGCGCGCCCGCCCTCTGCCTGATCCGCCTCGAAAAGCCACCGGCACGCGGGGCAGAGACCAGGATCCCAAGCTTCAGACGGACTTAGCTCGCTCAAACAAGTTCTGGAGGCCGGCGGAGCGAAATCTTGGCCATCTCCCCCCTCCCCCCGCTTTAATCCTCCTCTCCCGCCCCCGTTGAGGTGCGGCTGGAGGTCGTCCCCCCCCTGCCCTGTGTCAGAACTGATCTTTTCCAATCTGCTTCCTTGAGCACGGATAGGCTGGTGTGAGCCGGATTAAAGGAGGCGAATAAGAATGAATAAATCCAGGCCCTGTGGTTAAAGACTGGGGGGGAGGGGGGAGACATTCGAGTTTGATTTCTTGGATCTTCCGATGGGTTGTCTATCTAACCTTGGGAAGAGGCGAGGAAGAGGGGGAGGGCCTTTGCCGGGGAGTGGGACCCAGAGATAGCCGGAATTATACAGCAACACTCTCCACCACACAAGGGGTGGTGGGGGGGGGAGCATTCCAGTCCAGAATATTTCTCACACACACCCCCAACAGCAGAAAAATCAGTTCTTTGGAATGGGTTAGGGGAGCTGGTTTTCAAGAATACCTTGCTTTTGTTGTTGTTTATGTGCTACAGTCTGAAAGGCAGGCTTTGGAGGGTGACACCTTAATCTTACGACTTTGAAACCTCTGCCAGCCACCTCAAGGCCCTGGATTCGAACGCGAGCCTCCCAGATCCAAGTTCAACACCCTAACCACTCCACCACACTGCTTCTAGATCCCTGAATTAGGGGGGAAAGACAGATTTGTGTGTGTGTGTGGATGGTTGGATGCGTAATGCTGTCTGGTTGAACAGATTCTTATATTTTTGTAATCCATTTTGTTTTATTGACACCCTGCCGTTCTCACCAAGGGGGACTCAAAGCAGTTTACATCATTCTTCTCTTCCCCATGATGTCCTCACAACAACCCTGGGAGGTAAGGTAGGCTGAGAGAAAGTAACTGGCC